AAAAAAAAAAAAGTGAGGAATGAAGTTCAGTGTGAAGATCCTGGTCTCAGTCCACAGTATGGGGAAAAATAAAGAAGTAGTTACTAAAACATGAATTTTCAAATCATATACTCTATGTCTATTCAGAGCTATAAATTTACTGTGGTAAAGAAGATGAATTTTCAAATAGTCCATTTTAAGAGAAAAAAAATTTTTCTGCAAGGAAGAGAAAGAAAAAAAATATATCACAAATGGTATTTTTCCTAATACCAAATAGCAGAACTTACTGGTAGACTAGTAGTATTCTATTGAAAACTACATGTCTTTTGAAATGCCTTCCAACTGTTACTGATTTTTTATTTCACTAGAGTAGGATAGTAGGTGTTGTGATGGACATCTAAACTGTACTTGCGTATGCTCATTTGTATTTTGTGAATGATGGCAGTCAGTTAAAAATCATGTGTCTCTACATAACTAACTATAACACTGAAGTCTCAGGTCCTACAAATTCAGTTATTTATTATTTATTTATTTGGTACAGGGTCTCACGACACAGCTGGATCTTGTAGTGATCCTCCTGTCTCTGCCTCTCCAACACTGGGATTAAAAACACATGGTTTTAGCTGCTGGCACAACTGGCACAGCATGCAGTACAGGAGATCAAACAGGGTCCTTGTGCTTGCTAGACAGGCACTTAGACCACTGAGCTTTCTCCTGAGTCCCAAATTCATTTCTTTACAACTACAATTATTGTACACTTCTAGGTTTACTTTTGAAAATCCTTTGTGAAAATTTAAATCCATTCTCTCTCTCTCTCTCTCTCTCTCTCTCTCTCTCTCTCTCTCTCTCTCTCTCTCTCTCTCTCTCCCTCTCCCTCTCCCTCTCCCTCTCCCTCCCTCACACACACACACACAGCACACCACCATCACCACCACCACCACCACCACACCACACCACACCACACCACACCACACCACACCACACCACACCAGAAATATAAAAGCCTCTATTAGGTTGGCTTGAAACTATTATTGGAAACAAAAACATCAGTGATGATTGCAATGTTTTTTTTTAGCATAAAACCTAATTGAAGACATTTTTATTCTTTAAATGTTATGCTAAAGATGTTGAAAAGTAGGGATACTTCATTTTTTTGCACGTCTCAAATGCTTATTTTTATAAAGAAATGGTAAGATTAGTGTGCTAGAAGAATAATTCAAAGGAAAAGAAAAACAAAGACAAGGTCCTGAGGCCATCTTGATTTAATTTACTAAACTGAATTAAAATAGAAAACATGTAGATACTAATCTACATTTAAATTAGGTGGGTATGAAGCATTGGCAAACTTAAAAATTGAAATACCATGTAGTAGAATAAAAATACACATATTGGGAGGCTTTCACTTTTTCATATTTCTCCCAGGACTGCTATATTTTTAGTACTCTTTTTTTTAAAGAATCTTTTTGGTTTGTATGATTGAAGTTGACTGACACACTTAATGCTCTATTTTAATTGATTGTAATGGACATTTTAAAAATATTGATAAAGAGCTGGATTTAATGGCTTGTCTCCTCTATGTACTAAAATAATGCCTATATGGTAGCAATATTATAATTTATTCTTTATGCTTTCCTCTGTCTTTTCAATGGTTTAAACATAAAATTTAAGTTATATGTTAAAAACAGTTTTTTTGTAGTATACATGATGAATACATTTCATTCCTCAAAGTCATCTTTCTGAGTTACCTTGATTTTCAATTGACAAGAGTTCTTACAAATAAGAAAAGTTAGCCTAAAACATTTGGGTGATGTGTTTTAGATTTTATTTTAATTTCTATGTAACAGACATATAAACAAATGAAATAAGTTCATGAGTTTGAAGCTAGTTCTCTATTCTCTCTAAAAAGAATCTATTTTCAATTTCAACAGAAACACTGACACCTAAGATTGTAGAGTTTTGTATGCATCAGTTAATCTGACTGACAACCTGATTGGATTAAGTGAATCCTAAAGAGGTGATTGGATTGGAAGCCCTAAACTCATCAGAAGCTGAAAGGGCAATTAGGAGGTAGAGTTTAGTGAAGATTCTTAGCCACTCCTCTTCCCCTTGGGCTGTTCTCTGAGTTTTGATTGCCAGATCGTGTGACTTAAACAGCTGTCCATCATCATACCCTTTAACCATAAGGTTTCTGTCTTGGACCAGTTCAGTATAAGTTAAAACCATTCAAACCATGAGCTAAAGTAAATCTCTTCTTTCAGTGATAGCTGACAGCTATTTTGCCCTAGCCAATTGGAAAACTGTTCAATACAGTGTGCAAAGCATGATTATATTGACCCCCAGTGAAGACATTCTGGACACTGTGGTGGCCCACCTGGGTGGTCCTTATGCACGATCTCTCACATGTTGTGGGGACCTGGCCTGCCGTCTGCTGGACCACCTCATGTTCCTTCACAGCTCCCACATGTGGCCTGGAAAATATCACACTACAAGAGCAGTATTACACTACAAGAGCAGTTCCTGAACTCTGTTTCTGAGTGCTCTGTCCACACTGACTTTCTGGCTACCCTTCTCCTGTGGTTGGAGTCCTAATTTGTTGGCTTAGGGTAGTCAACATCTGTCATAAAAGAGGGGGGAACCAAGAATAAAGCTCTACTTCCTAACCCTAGGAGTCTTGCACCTCATTCCGCCTCTGAGTGGGGTGAGGCCCTATTCAGCTAAGATCAAAGGGTAAGAGACTACTGATTGTACTGTTTTGTGAAATGAGCATTTTAAAAGTATCACAATGGTTTCTAGCTTAATTTTTTAAGGCCTTCTAGGATTTCTTTATGATTTTTTCTTCTGCTTCCTGGTTACTATTTGAACATAAGGTTGCCAGATAGAAAACCTTTGAATACATATATTTTTGCAATGTAAAGCATTTTCTAAGAACTTGATTGCCAGACAAAAATCAGGCAAAAATAAATTTGCCTTATAAGGATGCCTTATTCTCCAGACAACTCTGCTTCAAAACTTGTTTCTGAGAAGTGATTATTTCTCCAGATTAGTAGGTACAAACAGAAATCAGTATTTTTTCCTATTTTCTGGGGCTTTATTCAACTTAATTATTACCTATATTTTTGGATTTTATTCAAATTAATTGTTATCTTAGTTTTGTTTGGTCAAGTAATGACAGCAGCTTGAATTCTATTTCTGTATAATGAAATATATAGTTATAAAATTGAGTTAAACAAACAATGAAGTCAATAGCATACCCATATTAGCAAATAAGAGCTTGCCTGGTAAATATTAAACCATAGCATACATGTTTCCCTTTGAATATCTGAGATCAACTCAAAGAGTAAATATTTTATAAAAACCAATCACTCTTACTGCTCCTAAATTTTCTTTGCACCCTCTAGGTATTTTTACTAGATAATAAAGATGTATTACAGAAATAATTTTGTATAAATTTTACCTCAGAATTTTGAAAGCATGATTTTCTGTATTTTAGATTTTCAATCCAATGGGAGGGAATATTGATTTATGATACGTCATGTGAATGAATGAAGAAACTTCTCCCACACACACATGCACCTTCCGTTTTCTTGCCAGTGCCTTTCTTGGTATCTTTTATTTTCAGCCTGTAGTTAATGTTAATTGTTTGTCCATATTTAAAATCAAAGAAAGCGAGCAGATTTCCTTTCGACCCTTATATCTTACATTTCTTACTCCTGACACTGTCTCTCTTCCTCTGCTCTGAAGTATAAGAAAGTCACCCATATCTTCCTTTTCTCCACTTTCTCGTTTCATTCACTTATTAACCTTCTATGGTCCTACTTCTCCACCTATCATTCCTCTGAAGTTGCTCTTCATTGTAAGGTGGTACTTAGCAAATCTCCTATTTCTTGACCTTTCTGTAGCAGTTGACTCTTTGTTCACTGAACTCCTGAAACCTCTTGTCCAATCATTTCTAAAATTTAATCCACTTTTACCTTTGTTTATCTCATTTTTATGGCCTCTTTTCCTCTCTCCTCACCTTCAGTTTGGAAATCTCTAGAAATTTTAGTTACTCTTTTCATTGTATATTACTTTCTGGAAAAAATTACTCTCTGCAAAATTCATATGTACAGAGTATATATTTTATCTGTAGAATCCCAATCACATGTTCTTACTGTTTGACTTCATATATATATATATATATATATATATATATATATATCCCTCACTCACTGACCATTGAAATTAACAACAATCTGTTTCTCTTCCCATATCTGTTCCCATCAGTTATCTCTCAACTTCTGGAAACTTAAATGTCTAAGTATCATTTTAATCTGTCTGCTCTTAGCCTTTGAGTTGTTCTGAATTTCTATTTCCAAGCTATTTGCCTGTCCTTGGCAGATACCCACAGTCCTATCGAGGTTCATTGTTTATATGATGGACACAGCAAATAGGCTAATGATACCAGCACAAGTTAAATGATCCCATTCAACTTGCAGTGTCTTGCAAGAGACAGTCATATGAGCAGATATCAATACTGCAGTGTAATAAGTGATAAACAATGGAGTGTAATAAGCTACAGGAGGCCAAGGAAGAATAACTTCCATCTAAGAGAACTGAAAAGGTATCGCAGGGATTGAGTTATGGAAGGAGGGTGGTACAGCAGGTCCACTTGGCAGATGAAAAGGGTATTTAGGTACAGGAAACAATGCCAACAAGGAATAATCAGTTTTATAAGAAATAAGAATCTTGGACTTTATGTGCATGCAGATTTGTTGGGTGTTTCTAGGTGGAAGAATCCATTAAATGTCTTCATTAGTTTGGTAGTACTAAACGTTTGGAGGGCAGATTAAAAGTAGAAAAGTTGTAGTTTATTAAGCAGTGTATTAGAAGGCTATTGCAAAAAATCTAGGTGATGAAGAAATCCAAACCAAATACACAAAAAGAAAACATGAGAACTGAATACACTTAAATTCTGAAAATGATGTCCAAGAATACGACGTGCACTCTGTGTGTCTTCATTTTGTTTTTGTTTTAAACTATAGACATGGGATGTAGAGCTGGAGAGATCTGCGGAGTCCTGGGCTGAGACGTGCTTGTGGGAGCACGGACCTGCCAGCCTGCTCCCGTCCATTGGACAGAACCTGGGCGCCCACTGGGGAAGGTAGCTTCACATGGAGCATTGACTTCTGAATGTGTGTGCTTGGAAGGAAATGCTTAATTCACCTTTGCAAAAAGGCTATTTCTTAAGAGAAAAACAACTAATCACAGAACAAGTAACAAAAGCCAAGTATCATGTTACTGGAATAATCAGCAATATATGTGTGTGTGTGTGTGTGTGTGTGTGTGTGTGTGTGTGTGTGTGTGTGTTTATTGATTTTAAAAAAAAGTAGTATACATTCACTATATATCTACATTTATCTGGGGAAGTTGGTGTTGTCATAATTATATTGTGTATTGTCATAATTTATAATTTCCTCTCCCCACCTTCCTGTCTTCCCCAACCCCAGAGGATGTGATTTTGTTTTGTTTTTGCATTCTTAAGATTACTAAAGAGTTTCAGTATGCAGTTCAGGCTGCGCTTGAACTCATTTTTTACCCCACTCTGCCCTCAAACTGGCAGCAATCCTTCTGCCTCAGCCTCCCAAGTGCTAGGATTACAGGCATGTACCACCATACCTGGCTTTTGATGACTTGTTTTTATTTTAAATCATTGAAATATTCATAATGTAATGGACATAAGAGTTTAGAATTGATAATTTACACAAAAGTATCTTTCTAAAGCTTTGATAATCTCTTTTGCACTATTTGGTTTTACATTTTCTCTGATTTGTTCTCTGTGGTTATTTCCTTTTAATAGATACAGACCACCAACTTTTCATGTGCAAGCATGGTATGATGAAGTGAGAGATTTTAGCTACCCATACGAACATGAATGCAACCCTTATTGTCCATTTAGATGTTCTGGCCCTGTATGCACTCATTACACACAGGTATGTTTGGGATATTTTATACTTATCCAAACTGAGATAGTATAACTATTGTAGAATGTAAAATACTGAATGTATGTCTTATATTATTTGGTATGTTTATATGCATAGTACAGTTATGGATCACATGGGATAGGTTTATAGATTTTTAATAACAAAGTAATTTTATCATAAAAAGATAAAATAGTTATTTAAAGAGATACTAATTAATAAATGTATGTGGGGAAGGAACAGTTTGCTATCTTCAAAATCAAAGTTTGGTTCCAAAAAATTAAGAATATAGTTTCATTTACCAATAACATTCAGCATTTACATTGTGTACTATATATAGCTATATATATTTATACTACATGTTTTAAGCACATTTATGAATTACTATTTGCATATTTATAACACTAAATAATATGTATGTAGCACACATGTAGTTATTCCTAATGCTCGCATTTGGTACTGAGTATGTTTTAAGTGTCTAATTCCAACAGTGAAATGCAGGATCAATTAGATTCAGCTCACCAGTGATCAGTTTCTAAACTTTCTGCAACCTATTTGCAGTTAGTTGGTCTTTCTGGTTGCTCTTGCATATGATAAGATTAAAATTTGCAGTGAACTGTCAAATAACTAGTAGCACAACGAAAAGACCATGTTGTATAAAAAAGCAGATACTTAAAATTTAGTTATTTAATTAACTTTTGCCAGAGATATGATGCAAACATTTTTAGGCAAATTTTACTATGAAAATATTAATAGGATACATAAGTTTGCGAAAATGTAACTTCTGACTTGCTGAGGAAGTCTGTATTTAAAAAATGCTGACATTGGGTGCCAGATAGGATCATTTGCCTATGTCGATCTCTTTAGAATTGAATTAATAAGCATGACCCAAAGACTCTGGGAAGAGTACCATTTTGGATCTGGCCTC